CCCTTAGAATATCTGGAGATGCAGTCTTTAGAGATGTGACTGAGTTAACATGCGGCCACGTGGGTAAGTCTGTAATCCAGTCAGACTGGAGTTCCTTTCAAGAAGATACAGAGGCATCAGAAAGAAAGAAAGAAGAGCAAGAAAAAGGTCATGTGAGGACACAGCATGAAGTTTGCCTTCTGCAACCCAGGGGAGAGGCCTGAAAAACAAAACAAAACAAAACATACACGCTGACACCTTGATCTGGGACTTCAAGCTTCTAAAACTATGAGAAAATGAATTTCTGGTGTTGAAGCCACTTACTCTGTGGCAATTTGTTATGTCATAGCAAACCTAACGTATAATACTTTCCAGTTACTGAGTTTTGTATTTTTTCTGAGTGAATTGTTCGTGGCGTGTAACTTATCTGTGTTGTACTAAAATGGGAAACCTCTATGATTGGATGAGCCTTTCTCTTACCCTCCCATGCTTTTACATTTGTAATGTTATACCCAAATGAAGTGCTTTCTCCTCTCATTTTCCTGTTAGTGTGATGTGTTTTACTTAGTTGCATTTTTCACTTTCTAGACATTTTGAGTACATTTGCTAAATCTGGAATAAGAATCTCAATAAATGAATAAATAATGATTTAATGATACCTGCTGTGTGCTTGAACTTTTCCTGCTCTCCAAGAATGAAATAGTCCCGTAGAGACTCGTTAGGGGTTTGTGTAGATTTTATTAACTATTATGCTCTTTTTAAAACCTCCTTTCAGAAAGCAGCCTCTCTGATCTACATGGGGACAATGTAGAGATGTATCCAAGAGAATCTGGACTGGAATTAGCAGGCTGTGTTTTAAATCCTGGCTCAGACTCTTGAAAGCTGGGTGACCATGAGTACTATAATTAATTAAATTGAATCCTCATTTTTCTTCATCTGTAGGGTGAGAGTAATAATAGTCGTGTTCAACTCATAGAACTGTGAAAAAACTGAGCAAACTAACAAAGAACACATGGCTCATGGCAAATGCTACCTACATCTGAGCGGTTATTATTTTTCTGAATTTTATTATTTGCTGGTTGAAAAAAATCATCTGTGTTGATAGTGTTACTATTGGAACTTTGTCACAATATTATTGGCAATAGAGTCTTTAGAGATGTGACTTAAGTTAAAATGAGACCACTAAGTGAAAATGAGGTGGGGTTTCTGACTATAGGCTCCACGAACATTTCAGACCGAAGAATTCCTTGCGGTGAGTGCTGCGCGGTGCAGCCTCCATCACGTTTAACAGCATCTGTAGAGTTTATCCACCAGATGCAAGTGGAAAACACCCTCTGTACTCCAAGTTGTGACAACCAAGTGTCTCCTGACAGTGTCAGTGTACTCTGGGGCATGAAATTGACCCTGGTTGAAAATCCCTGGAAAATATTTGCTTAAGAAATTTAAAAAAATATTATATTTTAATAGGAAATATTATATCTGATGTCTGCTTCCTACATAATTCATACCTAGTGTTTGACTATTTTAAGTGATGCTATTAGAGTTTTTGTAAGGTGGTTTTTCTTTTAAAATGTCATTAAAAGAGGTTTCTGAATTGAACTCATATTTTCTTTCATTGTGGCATAAGGCCAAAATATCTTCATATGTCAAACGCTCTAAAATACTAAGACATAACAACAGAAAATAAAATTGACTTAAAAATTGATGGCATAATGCGTCAATGGAAACGTGGTAGCAAAAAAAGTTACAACTAAAGCTTATCAGAGATAATGCAAACGTTATCAGAAATGGAATTAATGACTTTTTGAATTTTTCACATTGTTATAGAGCTTTAAGATAAAATTGGGAACAGGAGAGAGAAATTTAAACACTCATCAAAATTTGTGGTCATATTTCATGGCAAATAGTTTGGAAAGATGAAGTCGGTGGAGAACTTTAAAAGTACCATAAGGAGCTATTTTTCTAGAGAAAATACATGGAAGTTGAGTACATCCTTCTGAATCTATACCATCCTTCTGAATCTGGGTATTGATATTTATTGTGGCTCAATAACTCACTAGCAAGTCAAAACAATTCAGTGTGTTTACACAGACTCTAAGGTATAATGAATGATGCCTTATAGCTTATCTCTGCCGTGTCTATTGTTAGTTGGAATCATATCACCTGTCAGACTTAATGACTGATAGACTGGTCCACGTGGCATAAAGAGTCTGAAAAGCACACGTGGTGGACCTGTGGGATTTGTCTTGTAGTTAACATATATAATATATACATCAGTAATGTAGTTAACATTTATATATATACACACATATATAAACACAAATGCATACATATATATTTTACATATATACAAATTTAAAGCATATATACCACTGTATTACTTTTTCATATATATGGATATGAAGATGTTATATGTGGGCAGCGCCTGTGGCTCAAAGGAGTAGGGCACTGGCCCCATATGCTGGAGGTGGTGGGTTCAAACCCAGCCCCGGGCAAAAAACAAACAAAAAAGATATTCTATGTGCCACCGTATATATGTATATAAAGATAAAATCAAAAGACAGGGACCGAATGTATCCGAATTGCAGATTCAAGGAATGCACTGCATATAACGGGCAATGTCTAGCTGTCTTTATCCATTCGCAAAGTAAGATTATAGTAATTTAATAGCCTAAAGGAAAATGACAAGCTGAAAAATAGTGGGTTGCCTTTTATTGATTATTCAGTCTGTGAGAAAAGTTTTCCTTTGTTACCACTTTCAATGCCTGTCTTACAGTTTCTGTCAGTGTGCAATTATTATTATTATTATTTTTACTACTGATTTTGTTTCTGTTCTGTTGTATGTCTTTTCTTTTTGAGCAATAACAGACAGACTTTCCAAGATGAGAATATAGCTCTAGCTAAACTTAATTTCCTTTCTCAGTTAAACTGAATGTTTATTATATTATTGGCTGAGTTAGTGTTTGTGCTATGTTAATTTGAATATGCCATTTAAAATTAGAGGCAATATATTTGTCAATCCCACTTCCTTTCTCCTGTATCTTGATGATTTAAAAACATTTTTATTTTGAATTTCAGAATATTACCAGAGTACAAATGTTTTGCTTATATAAACTGCGTTTGTACTGCTTGAGGCAAAGTCATAAGTGGCGTCCACCACCCAGATAGTGGACATTGTAGCCATTAAGTATGATATCACCCTCCCTTCTCCACCCTCCCACAAGCTTGATTTCTGTGGAGTTCTACTTCCATCTGAGTGTGAGTGCCGATCTGTTAGTTCCAATTTAATGGTGGGTATAGGTGATTGTTTTTTCATTCTGCAGCATTTCATTTAAGAGAATAGTCTCCAGTTCCCTTTATATTGTTGCAAAATGTATTAATTTATTTTTTATGGTTAAGTAGAACTCCATGGTATACATATACCATGTTTTATTTATTTTTTTATACCATGTTTGATTAAGCTAACGAATTGGTGGGCACTGGGTTGATTCCCATCTCTGTCATCGTGAATTGTGCTGCCATAAACGGCACAATTTAGTTCAAGTGTCTTTATGATAAAAATGACTTTTTTCCCCTTGGGTAAAATACCAGTTGTGAGATTGCTGTATGAAATGGTAACTCTACTTTTAGTTCTTTGAGGAATCTCCATATTGTTTTCCACAGAAGTTGTGAATTGTGTTGCAATAAGTATTTAAAGGCAAGTGTGTCTTTGACAAAATGATTTTATTTTTTTGCTCCTTTTGGGTAAATACACAGTAGTGGGATTGCCGAATCAAATGGTACATCTACTTTCAGTTCTCGGAGGAGTCTCCAAAATATTTTCTAAAATGGTTGTGCTAGTTCGAAGCCCCAACAACAGTGTATAAGTATTTCTTGGTCTCCACATTCACACCTGCATCAAGTGTTTTGTGACTTTTTAATGGAAACCATTCTCTCTGGGGTTAGGTGACGTCTCATTGTGGTGTTGATCTGCATTGCTCTGATGATCAGTGATGGTGAGCATTTTTTCATGTATTAACGGGATGTTAGTAGTAAATCTTCTAAAGCTTCTTTTCCTTTCTCTTGCTCACTTTTTTATAGGGTTATTTTTTTTTCTTGCTTATTTACTTGGTTCTTTGTAGATTCTGATTATTAGCCTTTATCAGATGTATAGCCTCCCATTCTGTAGGCTGTTCGTTCTGTTGATTGTTTCCTTGACTATACAGAAACTTTTAAATTTATTCAAGTCTCATTAATTTTTGCTATTGGTGTGATTGTCCTTGGGTCTTCTTCATAAATTCTTTGCCTAGACCAATGTCTACAAGAGCTTTTCTAACATTTTCTTCTGGAATTCTTAGGATTTCATGTCTTAGACTCAAGACTGTAATCCATTGTAAGTCAATTAGAATGAGTGGTTAGAGATAGGGATCCTGCTTCAGTCTTCTACATGTTGCTATCCAATTTTCCCAACACCATTACTGAATAGAGATTCTTTCCCCCAGTGTATGTTATTGTCTGCTTTGTCAAAGATCAGATGGCAATATGAGAACGGTTTTATATCTAGGTCATTGTTCTGATCCACTGGACTGTGTCTCTGTTTTTGTGCCAGCACCATGCTGTTTTGGTTACTCTAACATTGTAGTGTAAAGTCTGGCAAAGTGACGTCTCCACATTTGTTCCTTTTGCTTAAAGTTGCTTTGACTATTTGGACTCCTTTCCCATTGCAAACAAAGTATAGTACTGATTTTTCTAGAAAACTATAAATCACTTAGGGTAGTATGGACAATTTAACAATGTTGATCTTTCAGCTCCTTGGTTAGATATATTTATTGGTATCTCATTTTCTTTGTACCTATTGTGAAAGGCATGGAGTCTTTGATTTGACTCTCAGCTTGGCTGTTACTGGTGTATAGGAATATTACTGATTTGTGCACATTGATATTTTAACCTGCGACTTTGCTGAATTTATTAATTCTATGAGTCTCTTGGTGGCATCTTTGGTATTTTCTACATAGAAGATCATATTAACAGCAAAAAGCCATAAAGAATGATGGTAAGATGCCTCGAAATCAGTGGCGTACCTGTATGTGTGCTGTCGGGCCCAAGGGCCTCCTCCATCCTTGTCAAAGGGAGTGCTGTCCTTCTCTCCTCTTACACAGCACCATATCCTGACTATTTTATCGCGTCAACACTGGGGGCAAGAATAGAGAGAGGAAGAAACAAGGAATTTTAAAGGACAATTAATTAAACTTATAAAATTCTTCATACCTGCCTTTTAAAAATTTCATAATAGTAAGGTGACACAGATTTATTGACTAACATCACCATTTAGGTGGCAGGAAAATGAGAGCCTGTGGATGGACAAAGATTTGCGAGGTGTGGCAATAAATGGAAGAAGGGGTGCTTCGTCCTCGTTCCTGTGGCTCCAGACTCTGTGCTCTCGTTCTGTATCTCATTCTTTGTGGGAAAAAAAATTTTCTCACTTAGGTTGCTGAGAAAATGAACTTGAGGCTACTCATCGTGATGTGTAATTTCCCTTAGAGAATCTTTGATAGATTGATAAAGACAGCCAAGAACTTTTTTTCTTTTTCGACAAAGTCTTAAAAGATCTTTCCATCTGATATGAAAAAAAATAAAAACCCAGTGGCCAATTTAGGGGAGAGATATTATTAAAATATACATCCACATTTTAGCAAATATCAGGTTGGGTCAAATACTCAGAGAGTTTTGTTCTCTTATTTTAACCCTGTGTGTGTGTGTGTATGTATGCATTTTTTCCTCTATATATGTATACACACACATCTTTTTATTTTTCTCTCTCTGTCTATACTCAGACACACGTTTTTACTTTTTAAAATAAAGTATAGTGAGATATTTTAATACCGAAATTTTATTAGCTTTTCCTACACTCATCATTTTCAAAATCTGTTAATTTTTACTTCAGGAATATTGTGTCCTTATGTGGTATTAGCCTAGACAAGAACGCACTGGTGGGTAGATTAAAATAAACCACATATATTTTGTTTCAGGAATCAAATTCGAGTGTTTAATTTCTGTTTTGTAAGACAGGAACAAATACCTGACCTCTTCCTCTCAGGACATAGGCCATTATAAACTCTGAAATAGAATGTCTTCTCGGAAACTTGGGGAGCTTTGTGTCAGGCTGAGGGATGGTACTCAGATAAGCAAGCGGCAGTTCTGTCTCTCAGTAATAATATTCACCCTATCATCTTGTGGATCAGTGATTGTCTTAGTGGAAATCAGAAGATAACGCCAAGGAGATATAAAATGTGCAGAATGTCCCCCCTATTATGAGGAGAATAACTTGTTAAATTTCACTCCTATTTAAATCTCAATTACCAGAAGAAGCAGGGGATGAAAAATTAGCCCACTTCTTCCTTCTTCTTGAAATTTAAACTGTTAACAATTCGTTTTTAATCAGGGTTCACATCAATTTAAAGAATCTACTTCATTTATGTTTTTCTTTCAAATTCAGTATACATGCTCACTGGTACAAATATTATTAGCTAGAGAAATGCTATTGTGATATATAGATACTTTTATTTCTAGATAAACATGTTACAAATTTCACTCCAGCATATAAAACATATGTTGTTTATGAGTAAATCATGTAATTCTCGTATTTAGCAAAACATTTTATTCAGCGTATGTCCTATTCTAGCTCTGAATTTCCTAGTATCTATTTATAAATGATTTTCCTTTGTAAAACACTGTGTATTTCTCAATAGGCACACTGTTGGCAAATTCAGAGATAGGGCGCATGAGGAAGTGGCATGAATTGTTTTGACTTGTATCTGTGGTTAGACCGGCACTCCGCTGCTCAGGTAAACACCCCCAAGTTCAGCCTGACTGCTTCAAGATCTGCACTGAGAATCTTTGCTTTTTGAATATCATCCAAATTCCGAGACTCTAGACTTTAACCCACGTGAGAACAGATGCCCTGCTTGTTGTATTCATGGATAATTTCGTCAGTGCTTGCTTTTGTGCCTGTTTTTTCGCAGGCAATCAGAAAATATTTGGGAAAGAAAAAAATTACATAACCAGGATACTGTGTTATCTGACCTTAGTCTTTCCCAAGGTCATGTGCGGTCACCCTTCTCCCCACGCTCTATGTTTAACCCACGGAGATTACTTTCCCTGTACCCTGCAGATGCCCTCATTTTCTCCATGCATTTTGTGTACTGCTTCTATTCCTTAAAACGACTGTCCTTCTCATCTGCATTCTTCATTTTTGCCTGTCATTCTAGGAGTCATCAGTTCAAATCTACTTCTTCTTAAGGTATTTACAATCATTTTATTTGGGTTTTTGTAGTCTTTTAAAATGCCCTCTGAAGCTTATTTTCACTTTTTATTAATCTTTTCTCTTTTGAAATGTGGCTTTAAATATGTCTTTTCTCACTTCTTGGAGACGAGTGAGTATAAGAGGTGGCAGAGTGGTTTACCTCTTCTTTCTTCAGCTGTGCTCCCCCATAGGACCTTCAGTGTGCCCAAGAAGTGGTTGTTGAGTGAATGGACACTTCAACTCCAGACTTGATTAGTGTTTAGTTGTCCCTTCTTCCCCTAGTTATATTTAAAAACTTCCCACAGCTGATGTGATTTGTTAGAAATTCAATGAAACTTGCCTGTTGAAGATATCCAAGGAATATCTTTTGATTTGAGATATAATAATAAGAAAGAACTTTGAAGCTGAGTGTGGTGGCTCATGCCTGCAATCTCACTCTGGGAGGCTGAATGCTATTGAATTCAGGAGTTCCAGATCAGCCTGAGCAAGAGTGAGACCCTGTCTCTACTAAAAGTGGAAAAATTAGCCAGGTTTCATGGCAGGTGCCAGTACTCACAGCTATGTGGGAGGCTGAGGCAGAAGGATGGATAGAACCCAGGAGGTTGAAGTTGCTGTGAGCTAGGTTTATGCCAGGGTGCTCTAGTTTAGCCTGGGGCAACAGAATGAGACTTTGTCTGAAAAAAAGGAAGAAAGAAAGAAAGAAAGAAAGAAGGAGAGAGGGAAGGAAAAAGAGAAAGAAAGGAGGAAAGAAAGGAAAGGGAAGGGGAGGGAAGGGAGAAAGAGGGAAAGGGAAGGGGAAAGGGAAGGGGAAAGAGAAGGGGAAGGGGAAGGAAAGGAAAGGAGGGAGAGAAGAATGAAGGAAAGAAAGAAG